TATATATATATATATATATACCTCTTTGACCATATGACAGTGAGTGTTTATAGGTGCTGCAGTGCTGGAGAGGTCCATGTTCCTGCAGCAGCATCAGTTTGGGTTATTCCTATCATGTTGCTGTGGCAACAGGCCCGCACATGAGAGAGGAAGAGAGAGAGGAAGAAAGATGGTATAAAACTCTAAAAATATTCCCATTCCTCAAAAGAAATAATCAGTTAAGCTGCTCTGTTTCTTGATTTCTAGTTCTGATTTTTTTCTCATTAAAATAAATATATAGATAGCTATAATACATTTTCAAATCCATACACAGTGAGCTTATTTTTTAGAGCTGCACTGAGGAGCTTTTGTCAACAAGCTGCAGGAATTAAGACTCGCTGCACTTTGCAGCTAAGTGATCTGCACGATGGATCCGGAGACCATCATCCACACCTGGGTCAGTCCCTCTGTGGGGGCGTGGAGGTCGGATGCTCTTGGTAGTGACACCGGGCAGAGGTAGGGCCACACAAAGAAGTTTGTCTCTTCGTGTTTTGATTTTGATTGTGGTGAACTTTTCCATTTCTTAAGAATGGACAAAATATGGATTTGGCTGATGGAAAAAGGAAAAAGAAGCGCTCTTTCTGTTTTTTGCATATGTAAGTTTCTCATGGGTAGTGGAGGTTTAGTTCCACTAGTAGATATTTTTGTTACATTTTAAATGTAAAAGAACATTCATGATTTCATCGTTTGAACTTTTTGCATTAAAAAAGTCACTTTTTTTGTTATTGTGGGGGATTTTTGTTAAAATCAAATCTTTTTATTTCTATAAAGGTTTTAAACAGAATGAAATTTGAAGGACTTATTAATACCTAGAACGCCATTGTGACCACAATATGAATGAAGTCATACCACTTCAACCTGTAATTTTTACATCAGGTCATTGAATGTACCATTATGCACATATGTACATGCGTGGGAAGAGCAGTGAGACAGACAAGCAGACAAATAGGCCTCTCAGAATGTGACAAGCAGCTCTCTGTTGAAGTGTTTTCTCCAGAACTCACCTCTGCTTCGCTACATGACCAGATGTTACAGCTGTTCACAGATCTCACAGCAGCGGTTTTCTCTGTCGCTCCTCTGCGTTTCATCTTTCTGAATCCGTCGTGGAGTTTCAAAACACAACAGCCCACGTTTCTCTCACCTTCTAATCATGATCTCTTCAAACAGAAGCCAAAATATAAGGTTAATGAAGCAGCAGAAACAGCAGCACATCTTCTGAAGCTTCTTCCAAATCTACCTTTGCTAATTTCACTTCATAGGGGCATTACCTTGAAGATTTATAGTGTGTAGAATTTGACAAAAGGATAACCTGATTTTGTTTGTTTTTTTAATTCATTCTTAATTGGTCCACATTGGATTATAGCTTCTGGCATCAATATAACTAATACACTTTATGGTTTACTATAAGAATGCCGAGGTATTGACAAGTCATGAGGGTGTAGTCGCTTAATAAAATAATTTCATAATTCCCATTGCCTCTTCTGGCTAAATCTCATATTGTAAAAGCTGATCTTTGATGGTTCTGGTTCAAGCTGTGCAGCATGCAGTTTTCCTCTCAATAGCCGTCTTGTAATTGGGAAGAAAATAAGAGATAATTGCTTATGACTCTCCTCAGACAGATGATTAGATAAACCGCTAATGAATATTCAGACTGTATTACCGACTCTATTTTAAAAACATCTGTGTGGATTTGATCAGCTTGTTTTACTGAGTCCTGTGTGACAGCTCTTGTTTCTTGTCAGGGTGCAGGTTGAGTTTTACGTGAACGAAAACACCTTCAAGGAGCGTCTGAAGCTTTTCTTCATTAAAAACCAAAGATCAAGTAAGTGCACGGTGCATCAGTGCTTCTGAAAGGATGACAAAGTCAAAGAATAAGCCATTAAGCTGCTAATAATGAAACCCAGATGGATGTTGAAAAACACAAGAACTGTGTTAAAACCACATCCGCACAAATGTTGTACAGTCACGCTTGTTTGTGCATCGATGTGAAATAACTTAAATCCCTCCTCTCATTTTGTCTCCAGGCCTACGGATTCGTGTGTTTAACTTCTGCCTGAAGCTGCTCACCTGCCTGCTGTACATCATCAGAGTGATGACGGACAGACCTGGGCAGAGCGCCGGCGGCAGCCACAGCAACGCGCAACAAAACACTCCGAACGGCAACAACAAATGGTTTGTTGGTGCAACGCAAATGAAATGTGAAGCTGAGTGCTTTATCACACAGACAACTGTACAACAAACATGAAACAATACTAGTGGAACGCTAACGAGCTGCACTGACATGATGGAATCAACTAGTTAAAGTACATTAAAACAAGGAACAGCTAGAACAGCTGGTTGTTCATTTAAAAAAAAAAAAGAACATTTACATCTGGTAATAATTACGCATTGAATGAAAGCAACCTTACAGCATTTACAAAGAACTGTGTGTAAATTAGTTCAAGTATAAAGAGTGCAACCTTGTTTTTAACATGAAAGTTGTCAATCTGTTGAAAATATACATTAAAAGCACTGACTTTTCAGTAACACTTTACAATGAGGTACACAAAAATTGATTAACTACTAGGGAATGCCTCAGGAATGAATCATGAACAAATCAGGAGGTAATAACCAGTACTTACTGGGGAACACACAGCCTAGCCTTATTAGGAGACTACTGGTTAGTTACCTTGTAAATAAAGAGGAAGTAATCAAGAACTAATGGGTAGTTAACCTGTACTTACTGGGTAATAGAGTTGCATTCGAGCCCAAAAAGTCTGACTTGACCTGGCCCCAGCCCGTAGCCATCATTTCTGAACCCCACCCCACCCGACGAATTAACAGTAATTACAGGTCCGAACCCAAAAATCTCCCTGATATTTTTAATTAAGCTTTGACTGCTTATTAAGGGTCGGCGGACTCTTGTGGCTAAGGGGTCAGAAGATCAATGCTGAAGGGGGTTTGTCCTTTCATGGCCATCAAAGTGCATTAAATCACTGCTTCTGCCTGCATTCAGCATTATTCAGACATGGACCCTGCTCTGACATGTTGGATATTTTGGGATCTCACCTTTTGGGTCATCGGCCACGCGCGTCTGCTGAGTGCAGCGGCTGAATGAACATCCATTTGGGCTTTAATGGATTGCTACCTGGCAGTATAGTCCCATCTGAAGCGTAACAGAAATGTTTACCTCTTTCAAGACTGGTCAGCTCGCGGTCAAATGGCCGTGTTCGGCTGGTGATGGTAAGCCATGTTGCCATATAACTGGATATTCCGCGAGTGTCCATGACTCAATCAAAAGCTCGTCATCGGCCCGGCCCGCACATTAATCACATTATTATGGTCCGGCCTGACCCGGACCGGGCTGGGCTCTGGTTTCGGGTTAGAAATGACAGCTCTACTGGGAAACACACAGCCAAGCCTTATTAGGAGACTAATGGTTTGTTACCACAGAAACAGAGGAGAAATTATCCATGTGAGTTCTGAATAAACCCTACACCAGTGAGGTCACAGCTCGTTATTGTCAAAAACCTGTTTCCTATTGCCACTGATTAGCAATTTCATAATCTTATGCTGCTGTCATCTTAACTATGTCTGACTATCACTTACTGAGTACCAAATCAATGAATGGCTATTATTTTGTCCATTGATGTAGTGAAGCATCATACCAAGTACTTACTGAGGAACCAGTCATTGTTTAATCACAACCTGACTTTTACCTACTGTTAGCTCCTGATTTGTTCCTCTTTGGTTTACTTGTTAACTACCCATTCTTGATTAGTTCCTCTTGATTTACAACATAACTAACCAGTAGTCCCCTAATAAGGCTTGGCTGTTTGTTCTCCAATAAGTACTGGTTAACTACCCATTAACTCCTGATTTGTTCCTGAGGTGTTCTCTAATCAAATGTTGTGTACCTTATTGCAAAGTGTTACCAAATCATTTTATACATCTTATTTGACCACAACCAAAAGGCAAGAGGGAAGACAACGTCATTGCATGCGAGTTTGTTTGTTTGTTAGAAAAAAATCTCGTGAACCACAGGACAAATTTGAAATAAACTTGCAGAAACTAATCAAGGAACATGCAACTTGAACTGATTGGCTTTTTGGAGTCAACCCAAACACAAGAATGGCTTTAAGTCTGTCGGTTCTTCAAATATGGACCTAAAATTAATGTGGCTGTTCTTGAGTCATTCACATCTATTTAACATCACATGAAATTGTTTATTTACTTTTTTTTAAGTTATTTTAAAATGCTGTCATTTCTTTTCATAAGATGATGTTAGTTTAATACTCTGAAAGAAGGTGGGCAATATACATAACCTCAGTGAATGCTAGAGCTTCGGTTTAAAGCAGGTGTTTAACAAAGTTACCATATTGAGTGTAAAGTTGAGAAACTATATAATTGTGCATGAATATTAAAGAGTCTAATGTATTAACCTTTCTGACCTGCCAAACTCCAGATCTTTATATATATATTCATGAAGGCTTTTTTCTTCTTTTGATTTCTATTCTTCACCTTGATTGCTGCTTTTCAGCGTTGACTGCTTGTGGAACGGATCGGTGCAGGACAGAGAAATTAACTGGTAGGCAGCAGAAGATGTGATTACCATGAACATAATGAATTTATCTCATTTCTGCCACTTTTGTTTAAATCAGTTGTTTCTTGTTGTGAAGACTTGTGGAAGACACATGCTCAGCACTTTTATCTCAACTCATATTTGTATGTACTTCTGCTGTGACCTGTGAAGGTATTTATTGTTGCCCACTGCCATGAAAAGTGAGCAATCATGTAATTGCTTATGCATATGTGTGGATGTGTTTGTATGTCTGTTAGCAAAATATCTCATGAACTATTCATTAGATTTTAATCTGAAAGTTAACATTGTATGTATATCAACAACTGATCCAATGCAAGATGGTTGCCACAGCTAATCAAACTTTCTAAACACAAAAATTATTATTAAAACAGTCTTTTTTTTATAGATATTGTGATAAATTTTGGCGTGACAGTAGCTGAGAGTCATCCACATCATAGAATTAAAGCACTAATGGATCACACAATATCTTTAAAACGTTGGCATGTAAAGCAGCAGGTGATATGCATATATTCAAGAAATGCTTGTTTTACTCTGAAACATAAATGAAGAGTTTTTGTATGTCCTCTCTCTGTTAGGGAGTTGATCTTCTGGGTGGACAGGAAGGCTCCAGTGTGGGCCATTCAAGTGAGTCTAAACAAAATTACAGGAATAATAATTACACAAACCTGAATCTGTGATTTGACTTAATATCTACTTAAGCTGAAGCATAAATGCTTCAGACTAAAATTTTTTGAAAAAACCTAATTGTTTTCCCAGAGAATAGTTTCTGATCTGTAGTTGTAAGTAATTTAAATGTTACGGATTGTTTTTCCTGTTTGTGCAGGTGATCGTGGCCATCATTAGCTTCCTGGAGACAATGCTATTAATGTATTTGAGCTACAAGGTAAGACTGATTTACAATTAACACAAAAAAAATCACATCACCCTCTAACATGATTAATGCATTCTGCACAACTGAAAGCTTGTGAAGCATTAGACTGACAATCCATAAGTGGTGTAATTAGCCAAGTCATTTGTCACAGAAACATTAAGAATCAATGGTAATTACAGGATGTGGTTGAGCTGAGGCAGTAAGTGGTTGGTGAAGGCTACTTACAGTAATATATTATATAAATTGTATTTGTATTTACACATATATATATGAAGGTATCTGTGCTCTGACCCACAGTTTGTGTCCACTGTTGTGTCCTTTCAGCAAAAGCATGACAACGGCTGAACACGTTTTTGCTTTCAGGGTAACATTTGGGAGCAGATGTTTCAGGTGTCATTTCTACTGGAGATGATCAACACAGTTCCCTTCATTATAACCGTAAGTTCCATATACTGTATTTTCCAGCGTATAAGTCACAGTTTTTTTGCATAGATTTGTCAGTCCAGCGACTTATAGAAGCTTTTTTTACATATTCGTAACGCAATTTTTGACTGACGCTTTAAATTTCTAAGAACTGCAACAACGAGTCCTCCCTTGCACGCTCGCTTCACTCAGCTGGTGAAGGCAGAGGAATGCTGGAGAGTAGGGATGTGCTGTATGGCATAAAATTCATATCCCGATATCAGTTGTGATGGGTAGCCATAACGATATATATCAGGATATGTTTTTGGTATAAAACTTGCAATAGGAATGAAACAAAAAAACATATGGTGTCCTTTTGCCATAATTTATTTTAAAAACTGCTATACCATAATATAATCTCAATCAAGAAAATTCCACTACTAGGTCCCAAGAGTTTTAAATAAAAAAACAAATCAAGTATTAGGTTTCTTTCTTGTAGTGCAAAACAGTACAAAAGATATCAAATGGAGTTTTAGTAGTATGTTTTAAACAAAAGAATATGTTGTTAACTCAACATTTTCCAGTCTTCTCACTTAATAAATGAACTGCAATAGAGCAGCATTTCACATATAAAAAAGTGCACACTGAAAACACTTAACCCTCCAGTGGGCGTCTCCTTCCGCTTTAAGGAGAGCTGACACAAAATGGCGACCAGTTTCCTCTGTGATTTTGAACAGAGAGGGTCTCGCAGTAAAATCACACAACACAGTGTTCTTTTCACAGATCAGAGACAAGGTTTAACCTTTTTTATTTAGCACAATTGCACTCTCTAAAGCTGACCAAGTCTTACTTTAACTTTTGACAGAACACAGCGTTTTGCGCATGTGTCTGAATACATCAACAGTACGGTAAGCCAGCCGCAGTTAGCTTGTAACTTTGCTACTTAGCTCTCGAAGAAAATAGACTTTAACACCATTTACGCACAGTTTTCAACTCAAAAAATTTAACGATTAAATCTGACAACTCTGTTTTTACATCAGACACAGCATTACTGCAGTTAGCCGGTAGAAGACAGAGCTCTATCATAGGCTAAATGTCTATCGTTTCTACCGTGTACCGCATATATTGCACATTCCTACTGGAGAGCTAGCGGCTCCGGCTGCGATGGATGGATGGATGGATGGATGGATGGATGGATGGATGGATGGATGGATGGATGGATGGATGGCCCAGACGAAATGAAGCTGTTTTGACCATTAAATAAACACATAATAAATGTGACTTATACGCTGGAATATACGGTAGTTGGTTTGTTACCGTGTTGTAGTTTTAATTTGCAGCCTTTACAGGAATAACACTAATTTTGTCTAAATGTGTTAATCCCTGCTCGTGGACATGGAAAACTGTTCTCTCTAGGGGAGTGCTCATAATGACAGACGTACATTTGTTGTTAATGCATTTATACATTGCTATGAATAAACTGTGCATGGATTTTTTTACGACATCACCACTAACAAAACATATATGTGTTTCATGTATCAGAACATATCAACATCCTGAACATGCAGGGACAAAAAATAAATGTGATTATCCCAGTCTTATAAAAAAAAAAACTTGTTGGGCAGCTGGTGATAGTGTTGAAGCAGGAAAACTGGATAGAGTCAGGATCTGTGATTCATCTCTAAAGCCGACTGAAACGTGAGGACTCAGGGTTGAAACTTGGGATTTGATCCCACTAAAGATTTGCTGTGGTGTCAAGTGCTAACAGAAAGCTGTTAAACCACACAGTTCATTACAACGGAGCAACAGAGGCTCGATCTATTGTGTGACCAGTATTTGTGCATCATTTACTGGGAGGAAGAAGTGGTGGCAGGATTCAAAAAGAGAAGAGGGGAAAGCACCATGGCAACTGTTTCTCTTCTTTCTTTTTTGAAATAATACTTGCCTTCTTAAAAAAAAACGTGCACACTGCCAACAAACAATAACTGTTTTAAGGACTGACCTGAACTGTTGTTCACTTCAGCTTCAAATTCCCCAAATCACAAAACAATTGCACAGCTATTGCATGATGAATCTAACGAGGCAACAACTTCAAAACAAGTCTGATTGATGCATTCTCCAAGCTGTACACAAGAAATGATGTTAACATCCTTGTGCTTATTAACAAAGACTTTCAGAGGTCTTGAGGAGTTCATGCTTTACTTCTGAGAGGTTTTCTTTTAGCTTTGTCTAAGCATAATAACTGCTGTATTTTCTCTATAATTGCAGTAGTTTTAGTATCGGTGCAGTAGCACCATATGTGAACTGCAGCCATTAAAATGATTAAAAAGCTCCACTGTGTTATATAGGCAGGTAAATGTGCATTTAGACCAAACGAGAAACATTTAAACAAGCGAACGTTACATTTGCTCATGTGCAGTTTTCATTGTCAATAAAAAACCGTCTACCTTTATTTTCAGATCTTCTGGCCTTCGATAAGGAACATCTTCATCCCTGTGTTCCTCAACTGCTGGCTGGCAAAATGTGCTTTGGAGAACATGATTGTGAGTGGAAGCCATATCTTTTTGTTTTGTTTGTTTGTTTTTTTACAAATCAGCAGCCCTGACAGCAGCATCTTCTTTTTTTTCCTGCTGTTTGTGTGCATGAAGAAAAGTGTGCACTAAGAGATTTCCTCTTTTGTTCGCATCGTTTCTACCGTGTTGTGCTAAAATGCTGCAGAATGGATGTTTTTTTTTCAGAGCAAAGTTATTTTGTATGGGGCGAGCTTAATGTGTTCAAGCATGCGTGTCATTAACTTTTCACCTTCAAAATGAAATCTTTGTTGCTCCTTCTGGTGCAGAACGACGTTCACAGAGCAATCCAGAGGACCAACTCCGCCATGTTCAACCAGGTCCTCATTCTAATCTGCACCCTGCTCTGCCTCGTTTTCACCGGGTGAGGCTGACTTCTCAAACTTCTTTAATTTTTGTTTATAAAACCATACTTTAGTACAGATTACTAAAGACTATTAGTTTATTAGTCCATGGATATAGAAAATGTGTATCTAATACTAAAAACGACAGAGAGATTTAGTAGGAGAGGAAAAACAGAGTGATGAGTTTGCACACGATGAACTTGTATAATCAGAGACCGTTTGTTATTTTGTTAAAAGGTCAAATAGGCATGGAAAAATGTGACATTTCTCAGCAGACAATTTTCTAATATTACAATAATAGGGAGCAAATGTTCTGAGTCTAAGCGGGAAAGCTTTTTTCACATTTCATCTCAAGGAATCGAGAATACTCATGTCTAACTACTAAAAATCTGTTTCCATATTTCTTGTACCATCTTACATGATTATTTTCAGGAATTTTCAAGGAAGAATTAAA